GTAATAGTTGGAAGACGAAATTGAACTTCCCAAATAGAAGAAGGATGAAATCGATCTTCACTAACAGTTTGAGGATCGAATTGAACTTTCCTAATAGACGAAGACCAAAATAGAACTTCTATAATAGTTGATGGATGAAATCAATGTTAACAGAGAGTTGGAGGACTTAATTGAACTTCCCCAATAGTTTAAGGATTGAATTGATGCTATTTAGTACTCGGAGGACAAAATTGAACTCTATTAATATTTGAAGGATGAAATTAATGTTAACAGAGAGTTGGAGGAGTTAATTGAACTTCCCCAATAGTTTAAGGATTGAATTGATGCTATTTAGTACTCGGAGGATAAAATTTAACTCTATTAATATTTGAAGGATGAAATTAATGTTAACAGAGAGTTGGAGGAGTTAATTGAACTTCCCCAATAGTTTAAGGATTGAATTGATGCTATTTAGTACTTGGAGGACAAAATTGAACTTTATTAATATTTGAAGGATGAAATTAATGTTAACAGAGAGTTGGAGGAGTTAATTGACCTCCCCAATAGTTTAAGGATTGAATTGATGCTATTTAGTACTTGGAGGACATAATTGAACTTTATTAATATTTGAAGGACGAAATTAATGTTAACAGAGAGTTGGAGGAGTTAATTGACTTCCCCAATAGTTTAAGGATTGAATTGATGCTATTTAGTACTTGGAGGACAAAATTGAACTTTATTAATATTTGAAGGATGAAATTAATGTTAACAGAGAGTTGGAGGATTTAATTGAACTTCCCCAATAGTTTAAGGATTGAATTGATGCTATTTAGTACTTGGAGGACAAATTGAACTTTATTAATATTTGAAGGATGAAATTAATGTTAACAGAGAGTTGGAGGAGTTAATTGACTTCCCCAATAGTTTAAGGATTGAATTGATGCTATTTAGTGCTTGGAGGACAAAATTGCACTTTATTAATATTTGAAGGATGAAATCAACGTCAATTAGTAGTTGAAGGACTCAATTAAACTTTACTGATAGTTAAGGATTTAATTGTTGTAAAAAAATATTTGGAGGACCTACTGACCTTTTTAATTGTTGAAGGATGAAATTGTTGTTAGCTAATAGATGGTGGATTAAATTGAACTATTCTCATAATTGAAGGACGAAATTGATGTTATATTATAGTAGGAGGACTCAATTGACTTTCTTAATGATTAAGGATGAAATTGGTATTAACTAATATTTTGAGGATCGAATTGTACTTACGTAATAAGTGAAGTACGAAAATAGTGTTAACTATTTGTTAGAGGTCTATATCATACTATCCTATTAGTTGAAGGATAAATTCATGTTAAGTATTAGTTGGAAGACCAAATTGAACTTTCCTAATAGTTGAAGGATGAAATAGATTTTGAATAATAGTTGGATGATCAAATTGAACTTGTCCAATAGTTGAAGGATGAAATAGATTTTAAATAATAGTTGGATGATTAAATTGAAAATTTCAAATATCAGGAGGAAGAAGTTAAGGTTAATAAATAGTTTGCCAACTACGTAGAACTGTCTAATAGTTGGAGGATGAAATTAAACTTCCCGAACTATTAGGGAAGTTCAATGAGGTCCTCCAACTAGTAATTAACGTCAAGATCATTCTCAATCTATTGAAAAGTTCAATTTGGTCCTTCTACTATTATTTAAGATCAGTTTAATCCTTAACTATTGGAAAAATTTAGTTCGATCCTCCATCTATCGGTCAACTTCAATTTTGTCCTTAACTATCTATTAGTATAGTCCAATTTGGTCCTTCTACCATTAATAACTAAGACCAGTTTAATCCTTCAACTATTGGAAAAATTAAATTCGATCCTCCATCTATCAGTTAACTTCAATTTTGTCCTTAACTATCTATTAGTATAGTCGATTTGCTCCTCCACCTAATAGTTAACATCAATTTCATCATCGATTTCATCCTTCGTCTATTTGGAACGTTCAATTTGATCCTCCAACTATTAGTTAACATCAAATTTCATCTTTAATAATTAGGAAAAGTTCACTTGACTCTTCCAACTATGAGTTAACATCAATTTAGTCAAACTATTAGGGAAGCTCAATTCGATTCTCCGTCTACTAGTTAAAGTCAATTTCATCCTCGTTCTATTAGGAATTTCAATTTAGTCCTCAAACAATTTATTAACCTTAATTACTTCCTCCCATTATTGGAAATTTCAGTTTGATCATCCAACCATAATTCAAAATCTTGCGGAAGTACAGTTTGATCCTCCAGCTAGTACTTGGTCCTCCAACTATTAGGATTGTTCAATTGGGTCCTGTAACTGCTATTTAACATCCATTTCATGATTAAACTATTGGGAGAGTTCAATTATATCCTCCAACTAATAATTAACTCAATTGCACCCTTGAATTATTATTATAGTTTCGCAGGAATCGCAAATTTGAAACAACGATATCTCTGGAACGTTTCCATTTCAACTTTGACAGCAATTCGTGGGAGAATCTCAAAGCAACCACCATTCTTGATTGCTGCTAGAATTCTTGAGAGCCAAGATTTCTTGTCTAGGTTCTCCCACTATTATGGATATGAAAATAATGGTCGAAATAGCATTCATGCCAAATGAAAGAGACGTTGATTTTCATCCGGTAAGTACCCAAACCAGCAGTTGGTCTATAGGTTCCCTGACTTCCATTTCAGTCTTAAGAAAGTAGCCAAGGGGGAGAACCTTGGCCGATCTTTCAGAAATTTCTTAATGAGGGCTTTCTCATCTAGAGGCAGGGGAACTTTCTTCACTTGCACAACATGCTCTTTGCTCTGCTTTGTAGGAGAGACCCTTTGAGAATGAAAAGCAAGGGCAAGCAATAGAAAGGATAGTCTAGAACGTGGTGAGATCAAACAATTAAATTGAAATTAGTAAAATATCTAACAATTGATGAAAATTGAACCCTTTAAGATGACTCTATGTACGTCTAGTTGCTATTTCTTTTTCCATTAGCAGTTTTAGAAGAACCCACACTAACAAATTTTGTCTGGAAATTTAGAATGGAACTAAAGATTGGTCAGTGTTATATAACAATCTCATAATTAATATAAATTGCACGGATTTAAATAACTAAAAAGGTAAAAGACTTGTCAATAATTCATTTTTACTCTAAAATAGCAAATCTCATGGGCGTTCTCCAATAGAAAGTAGCATAATTGAAACTGCAATACCGTAAAAATGTCTTTAACGGATGGAATCGTGGAAACAAATAAAATCTACTAGGCAATGAAAGGATGTGTAAATCTTAGGAGAAAAACTCTGATTTGTGTCGTTACTCTTCCTCCTCAGCTTCATTCTCAGCAATGTTGAAGTACCTCAATTCATAGACAGTCCGATCCTTGTTAGATGCTATCACTCGGAGCCAATCACGCACATTGTTCTTCTTCAGGTACTTCTTTGTCAGGTACTTCAAGTACCTAAGAAGCATCATATAAAATGACGATGCATGACGTTAGAAATAATACACAAGCCATCATGAGGTAGATCTAGAAGTATTAGCAAGTTTATAAGCACGGCAAACAGTATACATGCAAATGTCAAACATATATTCCACTTGCAAGTCATACAGACAATGTCATAACGTAAGTTTGAGTTAGTCACCACCTGCAATAATCACCCCACCCCCCTTTCCTCCTCTTCCCACTATCATAGAGAGATGACGGAGTAGAGAGGGCAAGTAATAAATGTAATGCCAATATGCTGAAGCATTACATAGGCCTAAACATCAGTCCCTAAGTGCCATGGATACAGAAAAGAGAGAAATATAGGCTAACGGAAGGGACATATCACACTAAATAATTCGAACATAGTAAAAAAAAAAGAAGTTCTAATTCACAGCAAAAAGCTCCATACTAAATCATGCTAGGGATTAAAAAGCAATCAACAGTTCATTGACACCATCAACTAACACATGAATAAGACTCATACCTACAAAAAGTCAATACTTTTCTTAATTTTATAAAATTGCAGTCACAATTGCGCTAGAACTTAATGGCACCAGAGTCCAGGAGATTGCCCACCACTTTAACACATATTACCTACTCCATTTCCTGCACCCATTATCTTTTCCTCACACTCCTATTAACCTTCAACCAGCAAAATTCCATCAGTAACATATATGAATTAAGCTTCATCTCAGCATCTGAGTTATTGCACTCATGGAAAGGAAGATCAATTAGCTCCCCCTTCTAAATCATGGTTCTTCTCATGAATGACTGTCCATGGTAGATTATCCAAGAGTTCTTTTTTCCCTATCCCAGCTAATACGTTTAAATTTCAATATAGGACCAAGTTATATAGTTAGCAACATTGTAAAACCCTATTTTAGAATAGGGAATCTACAGAACATGAATATCACAGTCTCAAAGTGTATACATGGTGACAAACTAAAAGTAAAAAAGCATGAAGAAAGACAGGAATCAAGAGCCAAATAAAGGATCAATTACTGTTGACACGACCCAATCACTAGAAAGAATTATAATACAATATCAGAGTTTCAATTTGATTAGAAGTTAAATGGTAGCATGTAACTCAGAAAAACTGGACCGACAATCTAGCAACCAATTCATGCTTTGGCATTAAGAAACAACATAACTACATTAAAACCGAAACAAAGACGTAGAGAAAATTAAAAAAATTAAATGAATATGAATTCTAAAGAAGATAACTGAGTTACCTCTTGGAAAAGCTAGTCTCGTTAGCTGTAACGGAGATCTTGTTCTTGTCACGGATGACAGTTACGGAATCTCCGAGTGCACCGGGCTTTCCTCCGACCTTGATGCGTTCCTGGAGGAATTTTTCCAGAGAAGCAATGTCCATGATCTTATCCTCTACCGGCTTTGAGCAATCGATAACAAAAGTTGCTGCCTTCTTCTTCCCTCCCTTCTGGGCGCCGGCCGAGGCTCCTCCTTTACTCATTTTCGTTCACTTTGAATCAAAATTATCTACAACAAAACTGCATTTTCCCAAATACAAAGATTAATATGTTGTATTAATCACAAGTTTGTAAATTTACGATACAGATTAGATTAATATGTAAACTGACCGAATGAGAGAAACGGCGAATTGGACGGAGAATTGAGCTTAGGGTTCGGCCTCAGCTTTTATACACAGTTGGGTAACGCCCTATGGGCTATGATCGTATGGGCCACAGACAATTGGGCCATAACAATTCAAGCCGATAAGTTTTTTGAAAAAAAAAAAAAGAAAAAAGAAAAAAGAAAAAAGGAAAAAAGGAAGTAAAATCCCAGTTTTCAATTTTCAGGTATATTTAAAAAAAAAAAAATCAAATTATAATTATTTTTCAGTTTTCTTTTCCTTTAGAACTCTCTTTACGAAATCGTGTTTGATGTACAGGAAAATTCTGTCAAGCTTTGTACAAAAGATCACTTGTTATTTTACATTGATTATTGACCAAAAAAAAAAAAAAAGAAAAGAAAAATCACCATAGAGGTGCTGTACTGTATAGGTGAATAACTCCTCTCTATACACAAAACTCTCTCAATATAAATTACCTCTCTCTCTCTCTCTCTCTCTCTCTCTCTCAACCTTGTTAAAGTTGCAAATAAAGCAAACTCGTGGTTGATGCATGACAACAATGCTACATTGATAATTGGCATTGTGAGGACGATGAATGTAGAGGTTGTGGTGGATAGGAGATGGAGGTGCACGTTATGGTAGTGGTGGTGGGTTGGAGGTGGAGATCATGATGGATTTGATGTGGAGGCAGTGGCGGCGATGGTGCATTGAGGTGTAGAGGGTGGTACATTGCAAATGATGGTGAATTTGCAGGTAAAGTTCAATGGTTGTTGATTCAAGTGGTGGTGGTGTATTGGAAGTCATGGATTTAAGGTGACGGTTTTGGTGATGCCGCCATGTGTCAGAGTAGGGTGGGATGAGATGAAAGTAATTGTGACATTAAAATGTGTGATTTGTGGCTAAAATATGTGATTACGACTCACAAATAGTATCTTTGTGATTGTAACCTTGAATGATTTGTGATTAGTATGTGATAATGATCACGTGATTTGTTTAATTAATCATATGTTACAATATTTTATTAGAGGTCATATTTTTGCGACCTCTTATTATTATTATTATTATTATTTATTTTTATTTTTTTTAAATCCACTGAAAATGTAGTTTAAACCTTTGTAAAATTATGTATTTTTGCATACTTTTTTTTGAGGAAAAAAGAATATAACTTCATGTTAGGCATAAATTCTTTAAAACTCAAATTTTCTCGAACTCGTTTTAAATCACATTTTTTTCAATAAAATAATCTTGCTTGTGGATCCACTGTTTAATTGTATATTATTCTAAAAAAAATCGCAAAATTTTACGTAAAACAAATCTTTAAGATTAAAAAAATTTACTTTTAAAAATACCGAAAACTGTCAAACAACAACATTTTTTTATTACTTTCTTCTTTAAAAAGTCACGTACTATAATAGGTATATATATCCATTATTTGAATAATAATAATAATAATAATAATAATAATAATAATAATAATAATAATAATAATAATAATAATAATGTTATTCATAATGAGAAACTGATAGTCGTCTTACGTAGCATACATATGGTAATTTGTTATTTGATGAACAATACAATAAAAAATCACTATATTAATGCATCTCTGAAAAAACTACCAATAGTCTTCGCAATGAATATCATTACTTATTTAAAAAATGTAAATTTAATTTGGAGAAAACAATAGGTGGTTAATTATGTAAATTTAATTTGGAGAAAATAATATGTGGTTAATTGTAAAAGATAAATCACCATATTTGACAGTTATATTGAATTTTTCTGAAACAAAAAATTATAATATTTACCAATTTATGAAATGTTAATAATTTAATCTTTCTTTTGTTGTTTTGCATTCATGTTATAGTTATTAAATGATATCAAAATTATTTTCTCTTCAGTTTTTGGGCTTTCTATTCAAATTTTCTTTTTTATTTTTAGATTAGAGAATAGCATCATTTTTGGTTTAAACAAAGTTGATTTAATGTTTATTACTTTTTCACAAAGTGGTTAGATTTCAAATAATATTTTCATCAAAATTAAATTTGTAAGTTAACTGAAAAATTTCAAGATCCATGCACTAAGGGTTTGTCTATGATGGATAGATATTTATCCAATAAAACATTTGAATTAGACTGTACCCGAAAAATACTTTTGCTGCCCAAATGAATTGAAAAATTAGTAGTTTTATTTAAAGAATAATAGGTCAAAACAAGTAACATTTTTTTTTTTTTTTTTTTTTTTTTAGTCTGCTGTACTTAGCATGCAGCAGACTCCAACATTACAGATCATTTCTCAAAACATATAGAATCCAGGTTTCAGTCATAGTAATCACAGTTTTCATCAAAACAGGAAATTCATCTATGACCAATTTTGAGATGGCATCCTCTCGGATCCATGCCTCTGGCGGAAACTTCCAGATCTGATTCCAGAAATAGATCCACTGGCTGCTGGATGGAATGGCCTCCAAATGGGATCTCTGTCAACCTGGCTTAGTGAGAAGGAAGGCAAGTGTTCTCGATCCCAAGCATGAAAGCGATTAGGAGCAGGATTTTCCGTTTCTTGGGAAGTTCTACCAGATGAACCTGATGAGAAGAAGTAAAAGCCACCGGATTGATCTGATGGTGAAGCCACAGGAGCAACATGTGCTAAGCCCCTATGACTGCTGGATCTTCGAGAGGTAGGTATAAGATGAGTTCGTGCAGCTGGGCTACCACTAGGTTGCTGAAAGTATCCATGGAGAGCCTGAACCCTATCACGTGCCGGAGCCACACTACCGGGGTAAGGAGGAACCATTGTTGATGTAGAACTGGGCGCTCTACCAGCAGAACTGTTATGATACATGTCAACGTCACACAACCATAGAAACTTATAGACCATTTTTCAAACGAAGTAATTAAGGTTGAAGATTGTATTTAAATGATATAAATGTAGTCCTCTCTAACACATTAAATTTTTAGATCGTGGTTTCTCATGATATCAGAATAGGTAAAGGTCTGGGTTTGAAGCCTTATCGCCACCCATTTAAATAAATTGTTCGTGTATTAGGCTATAACGGAAAAAAGAGTAAATCCGGCCTACATATAAGGGGTTTGTCGAAGACCACATTTAAATAATATACAAGTGGCCTTGTGATCTTATCTAACAGCTCAAGCTTTTAGATCAATACCTTTAGAGAAGCAAAATTTATCCTACTACTTTGGTCCTTCGATTTATTTTTTTTCATTAGAAGCACAATCATACTCAACTCAGTTTTTGGTTTAAATGCTAGAAGGTTAGAAGATTTAGTTCCAGAAAATGTGAAGTATCAAATCAAACTATCACACTCCACCCTTCCTTCATTATAAATTATTTTTTCTAACCAGGGGAAGGGTATTTGGGAAGTGGGAAGTTGTGCAAGCTACCTGGAAACTGGATTTATATATTTACCCTGATTTTATGAAAAAGTTTCAAGCAATGATGAGGTTCACCACAAACTAACCTGTGACCAACACTTAGTAATGGGTGCACGAACGACCCAGGTCTTGGGATCTCAGAACTTGTCCTAGCTGTTCTCCGAGTCATGGATGGCATGAAGGATTGATCTGCACCAACAATGCGGCTGCTTGTAGCAAACGGAGAGGCTTGGTGCTCCCAACTGTTATAATGTACATCCATGGCAGGGAAAGCATAAGAAGTGGGGATCTCACCCGGAACTGATTGGGCACTCCACTGATTATTAAAATTAGATCCATCCGATATAGTTCCACTAGAGGTTGAAGAAGATGGATGAATTGGTCCAAAGTACGCAACATAAGGGCAAGGATGCGTTGTAGAAGATACAGCTGTATGTTCGGCAAAGATAGCATGTTGTCCAAGATCATGATCTACAAAACAATGAAAACTCATAATGTTACTGAAGCTTCATGTAAACCTTACTACAAAATAGAAGGATGAGAATCTTACACGCACTTGATGAAAATTCTCCTTCACTGTGAAGACAGAAGGAAGTGAAGACAACAAAATGAAGCACTGTCAGTGGATAGCTAGTATTTGAACAGAAGTAATATCAAGAAAATTAACTACAGAAAATTCCTACAAAGAAAAAGGAAACATGCCAGACAACCACCCTCTCTCTCTTTCTCAATTTTCTTTTTTCGGAAACTATGTTATAGGATTTTACTTTGTAAGTAACCAGATATTTTACAAAACCTTGGAAGCTGTTAGATTTAATGATATCTTTAACTTTTAACATCTATGCACTAATGGCACCAGTAATTTTTGAATTACTCGCTAAGTAGGAGAGAAGAAGGTGCACAAACAAAAACATGACAAGGGGACCATTAAGGAAATCTCGAAGAACCATGTACCTAGCCTCCATCATGTATACTTGCATCACTGTGTCCTAAAGGCAAAATAATTTCTTGCAATGAAGTTAAATGTGTGTATAAAGAGTCGTTACAAGACTGAAAACATGAAGATGAGGCACTAATGAAACTGTGCGTACATTTCAAAATCGTGAAGTTAAAATCAATGTTCTAAAAACCTGCCCGGCCATCAACTTGGAAAAGATAAAAGGGTCAAAAGGTCGTACTGGGATTTAAAAATGAAAAAATTAATTAATAAAAAGATTTATGTAGAACATTAAAAACTTCTATTAATTCAATTTGTATTTTTAAGATCCATTATTGAACATGTACTATTTATGGAGACACTAAGTGAAAAATAAATGGGCCAAAAACAATCCCTTGAAGGGTCTACATATCCCAAACCCTACTACCATTTGAATATGCCTTCTTTTTTCATACAAAAAAAATGTTATTTTGTCAAATTATCTTACGATGCAAATGGGTCAAGCAGCTTACGAGCTCAGCTCTTTCAAGTTTGGCCCAAGGGGAACCTGGACTTCTTTTGAGACAAGCCATAAGCCTGATTAAGACACCACCTATTTTTCCATGAGTCAAGCACTCTACTCATGAAATTAAGCCTGGGCGTGGTTTGGTTTGGTTTGGGTCAGTTTCATTTCCAACCCGAAACCAAAACCAAATTAGTTGGTTTGGACAAATTCAACCCAAACCAACCCACTTTAGCTCTTAAACTGAATCAAATCAAAGTGAATTGGTTTGGTTTGGACTTTTAGTCCAAATTAATTTTTTAAAAGAAATTGTTCAAGTTTTAGGCGCACATAAATTACAAGAACTAAAATAACAAAATAATTTTATATTATAAGAACTATTAATTAACAAATAAAATCATATTAATAGAGGCAGATCAATAGAAAACGTAACAATTTCTTTATTTTTTTATGTATTATGTAGTCTGATTGCCTGAATATAGAAAAAATACTACATATAACATAGCCCTTGTTTGAGCCCCATTCTTTCAAAAATTCATTTTTTTAAAACTCATTTTCAATCACATATTCTTCAATAAAATAATATTACACGCAAATCCAAAACTTTTTTTTTAATTTTTAACTACACATTCTCCATCAATCACTATTTAAAAATGCATTCTTTCACTTAAGATGAGACTCGAACAAGGGCATAATAAGCTTATGAAAGAAAATTTTCAGTGTTATTACTTACCGATAACATCATAGATTGGAGAAAATCAAGATATAGTTATGAGATTAGAGTTTATCTTTTGATTTTTATTTTTCTTAAATTAAAAAAAGGTGAACATATAAGTGGGTTGGGTTGATTGGGTTTGTCAAATTATCTATTAACTGAAACGGCGCGAAGGGGTTTGCGGCTTTGCCATATAGACGTTAGGCTCTGGTGACCATTGAACCAAAGGAAAAATGGCATCAAAAAGCTTTGTCCTGTTCTTCATCCCTACTCTCTTAATTTTTTGGCCAGAAAAATAAACCTCTCAAACCATACCCGATTTACCGCTTCGGGTTGAACCGGGATGTTTACTGGATTTTGCACCATTTTCCTTTTATTCTAGTTTTATCTTATGAACGAAATGGATTTCAAATCGGTTCCGTTGAACCAATCGGTCTAGTTCGATTTTCACAACATTGGTTTAAATAGTCTACAACATAGCCAGTCGCAAATGGAAAAGAAATCAATGAGAACAACTTGAAAATAAAAAATATCTAAACTAAATTTGAAGTAAATATAACATGTTTGAACTTAAAATTGAACACAAGGAGAAACAAGGCTTACTCAAAAGATGAAGGAAGCCGAGTTAATCCCGCGAATGGACACCAATGAACTCCAAATGACTGCAAAAACAATCACAAGTTTTGAGAAACTAAATTGATCTGTGAAAACTAAGAGCCTAAGTCGTCAGCTTTTATACGACACATACGTTCAGCTAAGAAAGCTAAAAACTTCAGTTAGCAGTACATCCAGTCTGAAATGAGAACATAATTAGAGAACAAAGACATAGTTTGAAGTTCATGAAAATCCAGGATAAATACTGCAACAAATGTCCTACACCGTAATTGATTTCCTTTCTTTTTCTTTTGCACTCATCCCTTTTTTTTTTTTTTTTTTTTTTTCCCCCCCCCTTTTTTTTTTTTTTTTTTTTTCCGCCCGCGTCACCCAAGCTATGTGAAGCCAATGCCCTCCACCTTAATTCATGTTGCGTATTTGCAGGCAACCAAGGGATACGCGTGAGTCTGTGTAGCATATGGAGAAAAGTTGATTTCTACAATAAGATGCTAATTTTTTTAATGAGGCTAATTTAGGCTAGGAGTTGAAGAGTGTTAAATAAATTTGAGTGCTCAAATGGGAAGGAAATTCTCAATTTAAAATTAAGTGAATTGGCATTCGAAGTATCAGCTCAACGCATACAGCAGTGGTCAAAGTAGTCGTGAGATCTATTAAACGAAAGAAAAAATATAGGACAAGACAACAAACAGCAACAACAAGCAGCTAAGCTTTATTCAAATAACAAGGAGTTACTGACACAAACAGTTGGACATGGTAAAGCCATCAGGCCCATCACAGCACACCCATATGGGTTTAAAACAGAAAATAGAAAATCTATGGGAAATCAGACGTAAAAGTATATACCGCATTCAATAGAAACAATAATCCCAAACAAATGGCTGCCAGTTCATGAAGACAAATATCAAAGAAAATCCTCATAAGATTTATAGATTTTTTACTATTACCATTTCATAGTAGCTTAAATCATATAGATCCTCATCGTTGGCCCAGTCATCCATGCTAAATTCAGACAATGGTCGTCTACCATTTTTTGCATAAAGCCATTGACCTTTCTCAATTTTTCGACAGTTGGGACACTGCATTGCTCCCTTAATATTAAATGCCGAACCAATGCAATCTGCACAGATCATAAACAAGATATAATATAGTGAGAAACAAAGGAAGCTCTCTTGAAATCTCACTAAGAAATAATTATGAAAAAGGAAATAAAATGTGCGGCATATGTCAATCATAATTCATAAGTAATAATTAAATTTCACAAGTAAAAGAGATTGAAGATTCCAATGCTTGAGAAATGTTGTCGGTGACAGCACAGTAGTCCAAATTTAGGCAACAAAAAAGGGCATATAGTTGTTCGATTTCCATTCATGCAAAATCAATCTAACACTTCAAATAAAATCTCAATCAGAAGCACCAAACATGTCCAGGAAGGTGCATGATATGTTAACTTGAAATAGTGGCTGAGCAATAAAAATTTTCCATTTCTAAAAGTTATTTCTACTTTTTCAAAACTGAGAGGGGGAAAAAGATAAGAAAGAATGACAAAGATAAGCACAATTAACAAACTCATTTGTTCAGCAGCAAAGATTTTTGCAGCTAAATGTTGAAAAAAATCATGTCATGACTTAACATTCTCTTGGTTAACTATTATTTGTCTCTGTTGAATTGTTTTCATTAAATACCATTGACAAGCACTTTATTTAGTCTAAACAGATGTCGAATGCTAAAATAGTTGGTGATGATTTGCATAAAATAAATGATCATTTTTAGAGATGAATTTTCATAAAGGCTTTCTAAAGCTTGAGAATCATTCTCACTACCTGAACCTTTTCCGAGGCGACAATATTTTAGTACTAACAGTTTCGAAGTAAATGTTATTGTAAATGAGAAAGTGTTGAGGACATGCAACTTAAGTACACGGTTTTCCAAAAAGAAAGTAACTATAAGTCTATTATTGTAAAAAGTCATTATTTTTGGGCATCTGAAGAAGAGAATGGAGTCATTTAATAGTGGATGGGTAGGGTGAGAGCAACCAGATACTACACAACACGATGGTATTTGTAAAGATGATTGAAGCAACACGTGCGATTGGTACTTTGATAAACCAACCAGACCATGTAAAGTAGAACAGCCTTATTCACAGGTGGACAATGAAACTTACGGAAGATATAAACTAACCCCACTATAAAATATCACCATATCTGGTGGTTAGAAGATACTAACATAGAGAAATAGAAGCTTAAAGTAGTTCGAGAAGCAATCCATATCGCAGTGGTATTACCAGCAGAGGTGCAGGGTACAATAGTTAGTGCTAATCATGGTCATTTCTTAAATTATCGATTGAAGTGATTTACATATATTTGTTTCTAGAGACAAGATTGATCATTGTTGTTCAATCCAAAAAACATCTTATCATGGCAGCTGGGAAAATACTTGAAAACTAAAATTAATTCTACAATATTTTGCCTTGGGAAGGGGAATAAGGAAGAAGAACAACAGCCATGGTTTTCAACATTATGTCAAAACCAATTATCGATTAACTTCCATAGCACTATAAATGTAGACATAAATTTCAAGTGTCAACAAGATACTTGTCCCAATCAATTAACTATACAGCTGGACCAACAAAAAAGTTCAGCTCCACTTGTTTAGCTACTAAGCACTTAAAACGTAAAATAACCAAGCAGCTTGACCTCACCCAGGCCAATGATGTGGTAAGGCTTCTCTCTTACTTGAGCTAGGCCAACTAGACCTCATATTAACCAAGCTAGATGGGCGAGCCATTTTAAAAAAAAAAAGGCACTAGGATCTCTTTTTTCTTTTCCATTAAGAAACAATCCCTATAAATACTGCCCAAAACCAGATTCATTCTCATAATATTCTTCCTCACTAATCTCTAAATCTCTCAATTCTATTAAGTAAAATTTACATTCTATTTTTAATTTAAACTTTTTCATTACAATTTTTTCAATTTGTTATATTTAGCATTGTTTCTTAAAATTTCATTTCGTTGCTACCGTTAAGTGGATTGAAAGAATGTAGAAGAAGAAATTGGGTAGGCTTACAGATGATTTGTTTACACAGGATTTATTATGTACATTTTAATGCTAATGCATATATTTGCATTATTGCTCATTATATAGATTCAAATTAGATTGTACAAAAATTTATTGCTGTAGAATAGTAGCACATTTGCTCCCTAATGTTTAAATTTGCCAAACATTTACTTGCAAATTTTAATGAATATAATCTTGTAAATAAAATATTTAGCATTACTTTTAAAGGAACGTCTATAAATGATGTTGCATTTGCAAAGCTTGCTAAATAATTTGAACCTCCGCGTTCTAGTAAATTATTCATATAGATGTGTTTGCGCTATTTCAATTTTATTGTTGATGACGGGCTTCGTTTGATCAAATCATGTGCACAATATAGATCAACTCTAAATAGTATTATACCAAGAATTTAATGCATATGTCCATAATTAAATTCGCCAATTAATGTTCACAGTGTAGAAACTGAATGGAGTCCTATTTATGGAATATTATATTCTAGCAAAGATCGTAATCATGCCATCACAAAATTTTGAGCATGTTTGGCAAGCTTAAGTGCTAAAAATGAAGCCACAATATGGCTTCATTTGTTGTACAATGAAAAATAATTTTATTTAGCAATGTTGGCACTTTATTGGATGTTTTGAGCAACCCTTTACCTCATTTTCGCCCCAAACAGATAAAAAGATACTGTTTTGTTGTCAAATGCAAGCTAATCTTACCCCCCACCCCCATCCACATACACTCAAAAAGGTATTTTAGTACCTTAGAAAAAATTTTACCCCACATTTTGTTTTCAGTTAGAGATAAAATGTGAGAGAGACCATTTCTCTCTCAGGTTCTGATTATTCTCCTTTTGCTCAAAGATAACATTCATGAAACTCTCTTTTTTCCTCTTCTATTCCACATTAATTCAGGAAGACTTTGTGAGCTAGAGCACAAACTTACATTAACCAGCAACCATGCCCCAACGATTTCCCCTCACAATTCACACTTAAGCATAAGACAAAACTCCTAAATACACTTCTTGTCTAACGAAGCTCCAGACTGTCAACAAATTCAGACTTCTAGTCCTTTCGAAATATTCATTCTTGAAGCCTGAAGGCCAGTTTCACTATTTCCAATCACCAAACATAAAGCGATCCCATTTCCACCACTCTCGCTTTTCAGACATCTGTTCTCCCATCCCCAAGGATCCCATTTTTTAACCTACTCATTGGATCTTATGAGGTTTAATGACATATGGCAGAAAATTAGTGATGCTCCCAGTGCAATGAAGTTAAACGAAAGGTTTGCAAGAAACTATCATCACCAGTAACAAAAAAAAGTCTTGTTAACGCAATGGATCTACTTCCACTTCTTTAATTAATAAATCCATTCAAATTATACCGTGAAGCGTAGTAATTACAAAGAATGAATAAGCGAGGTCATCCTATGTCGTGCTCCCATTTAGAAACAAAAAGAATTCATGCCAATGTCTATGGCATGCACAGCGTCGGAATCAAAACCTTCATTCAATGGATGTTACAAGATCCCTAATGCAACAAACCTAAAATTACATCAACAAAGCCATATAATGACAGACAATACTAAACCCTTGTCATACTACTTCAACAATTTCATTGTGAATTTATCGCTGGAAACATTAGCCATACACTCCAAGAAGCATGTATTTCGACATAATACAAACCTCCCAAACTCCCAATTAACCTAATCAACACAACCTTACAGGGTCAACAACTTAAAACTTGATCGTCTCACTACCCAATTCCAATCAATTATACATCCTGAATTTACATTCAGATCCAAAACTCAAAAAGGTCAAGTTTAAATCTCCACAATTCAAAACAAATTCAATAAAATGCAAAAAATTAAAATAACTGGAATTGAATAAAATTCTCCATCTAAATTTTATTAGAACAAAATTTATTTTTAAAAGCTTCAATTACATCTAGTGACAAAGTCGGTCAGATCTCAATCATTTCCAAATGTATTGAAAAATTAGACTCACCAAGGTGGAATTGATGGCCGCATTGGAGCATAGCCCAGGATCTAGCCCCATTATCAGTCACCCCCTCCAAGCAAATTGAGCACGACACAACCGCTGATGCCGCCTTGCCCCCACCTCTATCACCATCATCCATAAGATCCGCATCACCCAATCCCATAATTCAATCACCAATTCCCAGAACCCTACCTTAATTCGAATCTTTCACATAAAATTTCGAATAATTAGAAGTTGAGTGAATGAAAAAAATTAAGTGAATTTAAGAGAGACGCGTAACTGTTATAAAGAGAAATAGAAGAGAGAGGATATGGAAAAAACTGTGACCACTTTCTTTGCACTCCTAATATTTCTCTCTCTACTCATCGCCTGCCTGGTTTATGGCCGTCGGATTTGTTGCTATTGCAAGGACGAGGATTTTGGTAAGTTTTAACTGCTGTCCTAAAAACGCCAATGAGGATAGGAATAATTTTATAAATGGTCACTCAACTTTACACTAAATTTTACTTTGATCACCTCACAAAAAAATACTTTCAGTTACACCACGCATTAGGTTGGGGTACATTTTTAAAGTTTCAAATTTGTTTTACTTACATCACTTTAGCTCTATTTGTCATCTTTTAAAAATTTAAATTGTTTGCTATAATATCATTCTTCACTATATATTCACACAATAAAGAGCTTGTTTGAATCCGATTTTTTCACCCAAAAAATTGATTTTTTGACCGTTATTTCACTATTCCAGTCATCATATTTGACTTCTTCTCTCACAGGTGGACCCCACTTTTCTTCTAACGGTCAAAAAATCAATTCTCAAAATCACTTCCAAACAAGCTCAAAATATTACACACACAAAGCAATAAAGTTTTTTACTTTTCAATCATACATTCTCCAAAAAAATATTATTCAATAACTGATTATTTTCAAATAAATTCTGTCAAACAAGCCCTAATTGAAAAACTATTTCAATAGACACTTTAAAACTACATAATGTTTGAGATGTGTAGATAAATTTATTGAAAATGTATGGGTACAAGATTAATAAGTCAAATAACTTTTTAATCATATATTTTTGTGGGATTTTTCAGCATTATTCACTACTCATTTTTATCCATTTAAAAATAGCTTGCCAAACATATGCTAATTAAAATAATATAGGCAATATATGATTAGAGGCACCACATTTCTACCCACGCACAAATAAATATATCACTGACTTTTTTGGATATGCTCATGGAGAACATAACGAAATTATGAATATACCCGAACTTTAGGTACAATAAATCTAAAATAATTACTTCAAGTAGTAAAACAAAAAGTGATCATGAAGTATGGAGATAACTCAGTCTATGATGTCGAGAAGTATGACCTTGACTAATGAAGTGTAATTTCTTTGAATATTATATTGCACTTCCAAGGGATAAGCAAACTTTTTTTATATTTTTACTCGAATGTCAAGTCGAGCCCATCCTAAGATTGTATTTATTTTATGTTCGTCATTAATATAATGTAAAGTGTTTACATGTATAAGCACTGTTTACATGTTATATTAGTACAAACTAACATTTCATTGGTTTTGAGCTTGTTTGATAGAGCTACTCTTTACTAAAAAAAATATCAAATTTCATTTTTAACCATATATTTTCTTCGATCTCACAATTTTTTAACTACATATTTCATGGGACATGTAAATTTTTATCAACTTTACTTGCTAAAATTCTACATCCAACAAGGGCTTCATTTGGATGGATCTGATTATAGATGGTGTTTTACGGCGCAACAATAATAGTAATTCTTTCAAAAATCAGATGCAATTGATAGATTCAAGTTCTACCTCGACCAATTTTGGATGAAGGTAGTTTGCAATTTTCAATAGGTTCATTTTTAGTTTGATTTAGTAACAAAACAAGTAAAAAAAAGTTCCTATTAAAAAATTGAATATTTGGACTCTCAATTCAATTACTTTCTCGACAATTAGTTCAATAGGAAATTATGCCCGCTTTAATTATCACAATAAATTTTCTTCGACACTATTTGAGTGACAAAATTAGAAATTTAAACTGTGTGGAGTCAGCTTGATTCGATACGACTTAGTACATTTTGTTCAAATCCTATATAACTAATATTGACACAATGTTTCCCCTCAATTTTTCACGTAATATATCCACGGGTCACAAACCTTTGAAAGTGAAGTTTTGAGTCCCCAACCTGTTCAAATCGGTCAATTTGAGTTTTCTAGTGACTAAACTAATAATGTAGATATTAAAATTACACGTACCTTTCACATCTCACAACTAAAGCATAGAGGGCAAAATTATCATATTACTTAACATTTATCTCTAATTCAACTTGAAGCATAGTGCACTTTTAAGGTATAAAGTAACATTTTTCTTCACTTGATGATCCAAATTTACATATTCAAATAGCTTGGATACTGAGATCCTTGCTTTTGAAAGTTGAGAACTCATAACTACGTTATATAAAAGTTTGAGGAGCTCAACTCTTATTTGCCCATTCTTCTTGGTCAATTCAAATATGTTCTTTCAAGTATATAACAAGGATTCTTGCCCTACAATTCACATAGATCATTTTCTTTGACGCTATTGTGAATCACAACTCTCTTTTTCGGGGTGGTGTTTTTTAAATTTTCATTCAATTCCAAAAAAAATTTAAAAATTTTTTGTTTTTTTTTTTTTTTTTTTTTTTTGCATACTATTGGGATTATTTGGGATTTTTTAGAGTTAGTCGGAGCTAGTCCAGACCAACTAAAGCCTCTGGACTAATGAAATATGATGGGGGAAATGGAAGTCAAGCGGTATCCATTTCATCATTTTCCGATCATAAAGAAGGTAAATGATTGTTTTTAGCGCTAAATGGATACTTTGACACAGATCGGAGTATGCGAGTTTTTGGATCGAGTAAGAGGTTGTTTGGAGATCTCGTTATTGATCATTACAATAGGAATCAAGGTCATTATTGCATAATGAGAATGAGAATGAAAATACTTTTTATTGGGCACTGATTATAACCTAAGTAACTCGTTCTCTCCCTAAAAAACCGATGGCCGACCCATTCTCCATTTTTGCATTCAAATTTCATTTTTCTTGCTCCTTTCACAAGTTAAAAAACACTTTCTCAAATCCTTGTTCAAGAAAGTTCAGGAAAAATAAAAGAAGAAATGTTATTTTGCAAACAAGAGTTCAATTTCTTGGAGTCGAAGTGAACTTTGTAGAGTTTGAAGATTGCACATCTTGTTTGAACATGTTTACAAGTTAAGCAATTAACGAAAAGTCAGGGTAAGACACGTTTCAAGCTTAATTGTGATCCTTGTTTTAATGTAAGGATCAAATTATGTTAACTAATGATCTTAAAGTAGAAATTGAGATTGAATCAAGGATTCTAAGTATGAGACTGATATGAATTTGAAGTCTTATGAAGTACTACTTGGAATGTAAATCTAAATTTACGATTAAAATGTTTATCATTTTTTTTTTTTTTTTAATGATGGTCTAAATTTGAGATTTAGAATACCATTATTTTTCTCCGGATGAATGTAAATAAGTTACATTATTTTACTTAACATTCAAGCATGAAATTGAGCATGCCCTTGCGAGTTAATTTTATATTCGCTTAAATTACTAAGCCAATTTGATTCCCATTATTTATTAAAAATGCATTTTTTAATAGTGATTTGATAGAGAATGTATGGTTAAAACATAAGAAAAAGTTTTGAATTTACGTGCAATATTATTTTATTTAATAATGTGTGGTTGAAAATAAAAGAAAGAAAAATGCATTTTGAAAATAATGGGAATCAAACGGGGGCTAAATTTTACAGGTACGTTATTGATATAGGGGGTGTTTGGTTAACGCATTTGAGGATGATAATCATAAAACACCAATAAATTGCATCGTAAAAATCTACAATTATAAGCAAAACTAAAGTTATGTTTTTCCATGTTGCGACTGTAAATGTTATGCCCCAAATTCAATCAATTTTCGACATAAAAACTTTTAATATAATTGATGCAATTTTATGGAAGATCTATTATTTAATTAATGCTAAATTAAATAAAATAAAAGAGTTCGTAGTTTTAAGTTTTTGTTATTTGTTAATCACAAGAATTTGTGATTGTGTGATATAAATTACATATGACTGAATATTAAATTATTCGTGATCGTAAGCAATAATGAGATACGAATATTGTTATTACAGATAGACTATCACGTGTAGCATTTTTTACTTGTAAAGTAAGTAGCCGATCTTGTAAGCTATAATGTGGTGACAATTAAATGAACAAGTTGATGTTTTTATTATAGAATAGAACATTGGAAACCCATTGGAGAGATTCTATATGAATAATTATTTGAGTGTCGGTGGTTAATCTCTAACGTCTGGTAGTGGAATTGATCTTTTGACTTGAGGTCATCATAGTTACTTATATGAGGACAGTCATATTTTGGTGATGTTGGTAATGAAATCCTTGGCCAATGTGTAAGCATAAGTCGAAAAGAAATTTTCGATTTACTTTGACTTAACGGTGAGATAAAATATATGATCATTAATTAAGATTGATACATACATATTGATGAAATGATTTTATAGTTTCACGATAAACGAACAAGTTTGGCTTTATCTTATCGCGTTATATTTTTCGTCACATGTATTGCCCCGCCCGACACGTTGCTTAATGTCAATTTGGGATGATGGATGTAAAATAGTGCTAAATTAAAAGGGGTATTTTGATTAGATCGAAATAATAATTCACGTCGTTGGACATCATAATTGGGAGCAGAATTGGTCACACACAAAAAGAGAATTAGAAAAATGGGCTTTACCAATTAATTAATTGACAACTGTTTGACAATTAATTAATTGGATTGTTTATTAATAGGCCCAAATTAATTGGATTAATTAATGGAAAATTTTCATAAGTAATAGTTTAAGTATCACACATTTCAAAATCAAAAAAATAAGTTTCAAATTTCAAAAATCAGATTTTTATTAAAATTTAATTAATTAGTTAGTTATATTATTAATTAAATATATTTAGGTCACGGATCTATATAATATGGTCACAAATTAATAATTTAATTCGTTACTTATTAATTTTTTATCACAAATTAGAAATTTTATGTCACAATTCAAAAATTACAAAAATTTTATAGGTTACAGTTTGTTAATCAGTCATAAATCGAATAATTTATAAATCACAATTTATTTATTAGTCACAAATCACGAATATTACAAGTCACAACTTATTATACAGTCACGAATTATCAAATTATTTGTCACAATTTAACAATTTTTTAGGTCACACATTATTTTTTGTCACAATTTATCTTTTTTATTGGTCGTATATTATTTATTGGTCAAAGATTATTAAATTAATGGTCACAT